TAAAATGTTATCTATATTTTAATAAAAGAATAAAAATGCTTATCTTTAGCTTAGAATTGTATTTACTCGACTGATATTATTTCTGTGTCATTAATTCGTTTGACTTCTGCAAAAAAGTAAAATTCATCGCATATATATAAATATAAAAATATATATTATTACATTATTTTTATAGATAAATTAAAGAGTGTTATAGTTTCCCAATGGTTTCAAAAGATCAATATTACATTGCTAATACCCAATTCATATTTTGTTATTTATATTTCTACAATGTTTGTGTAATGTTGCATTGCAATTTGTGATGTTGCAATATTGTTGCAAAGTAGTTGTAATATTCTGTGTTGCATAGATATTATGTTCTAATCTTTTTAGATATGAATATGCCTAAAATTAAAAAAATTATATTTTGTATTAAAGTTATAAGTAAAATTAAATTTGTAAAAACATACACGGACAAAGATATTAAAATTATATTTTTGCTTAATATAGATATTCCGAGCACTCCTGGAATAATAGCGAAAGAATATTACTTATTATTCATGTTAAGTTTTATCGTTATAGTTATTATAATCTGCATCTGCTACTTTTATTATTGTAAGTATATTTGATTTAGGTGTATCGATTTGAATTGTAGATTATACATATATAACTGATATAATATCTAGAGATTTACTGAAAATAGTAATTTACTTATATAAAACTAAACGAATAAATTTATTAAAAACAATAGATTTTATAATACATATTATTACATAATTAACTCGAAATTTCATAACAGTGCATCGCAGAGGTAATAATGAACAATTTTTGTCTTTAACAATGATCGATATGGAATTGCCGATTCTACATGTACCTTGGCGAAACACTCAATTCATGATTGACAATTCTACGTTACATTATAATCCAGATGAATGTGCGGTAACCATAGTCGCACGTAAACAGATTATATTTATAAAACTTCTTGGAAGCGGCGCATTCGGACAAGTAAAAATTAATTTTTTCAAGCAATGTTTCAAATTAATTTTTGAATTAACAAAACAGACATTTTCTAAAAAAATATAAATTACATAAATTTTTATAATAGATTATAAGTAATATAAAATTTAGATGAGACAACAAACATGCACTTTATTATACATTTTTCGTTGAATTATTATTTAATATAAAGTAAAATATAATACTTGACATTAAACTATATACATTTTCTAATGAAGCACGCATGTAAATTTGTGTGAAATATTTTGCAGGTATTTCAAGGAAATGTGAAGAACTTAGAAAGATCGGGAACAGAGATATCCGTTGCAATAAAAACGCTTCGGAAAGATGCTTCTTCACATCAGAAAAAGAATTTGCTGGAGGAAGCCAAGCTTATGAATCGTTTTCGACACAAACATATATTAAGATTGTTGGCCGTTTGTTTAGATGGAGGTCCAGATGGGGATTCTCCTTTACTAGTGTTGGAATTGATGGAAACAAATCTGTTACAATATTTGAGAGATTGTCGAAATTTGGAAGCGTCAGATTCGCCTACTTTGCGTTTGCAGGATTTGCTCGCCATGTGCGAAGATGTTGCGCGAGGTTGTTGCTACTTGGAAGAGTTGCGTTTCGTACATAGAGATCTAGCGTGTCGCAATTGTTTAGTATCTTCGAGGAATCGAGAGAATCGTGTCATCAAAATTGGAGACTTTGGACTAGCTAGAGATATCTACAAGGATGATTATTATCGCATGGTATACAATTATGAAAAAAAATTAATGATTAAAAAATTAATTCTTTTGAAAATACATTCCATTTTTTTATCATAATAGGATTGTGCATTGTTTCTTTAAGTAATATAGAATATAAATAATTTTTATTTATGTAAAGCAAGACATAAATAAACGTTTTTTCATTTTGCACATATTCTAAAAATGAACAACTTGAATCAAAACATTAAATTTTTGTTTAAATCATGTTTTAGAAAAAAGAACGTTGGTTTCCTATTCGCTGGATGGCACCCGAATCTTTGATGATTGAAATATTTACTTCTCAAAGCGATGTTTGGTCATTTGGGGTTGTAATGTGGGAAATTACATCGTTGGGTGAGAAACCTTATATTGACAAGACTGATAATGAAGTGATATATCATGTACGTGCTGGAGGCAGGTTGCCGATGACTCTTAACTGTCCGTCACCCTTGTACCAGTTGATGCTACGTTGCTGGAGTGCAGCGGATGCTAGACCAAATTTCAAATTTTGTCTGGAAAATATTATAGCATTAAGAAAGAACATGAAAGATGCCTTACTTAGTCCAGTGGATATTATTTAGTCGATATAATTAAATTAATGTTTATCTTCTTTTTCGAACGATTCAATAAATGCAGGAAAAATAATTCTACAATATTTCTAAATTAATTCTGTTATTTTTAGGTTTAATCTTAATATTAGATTTATCAATGAAGATAAAAGAAATTTTTTAATTTTATCTTCCATAAAATTTTTATTATTAAAAAATATCACATCCGTTTTTATAATTGTAAACAATGTAATATAATGATATATGTAATTTATGTTTTTGAGAAATGGAAGCGAAATCTAATAACTGCGATTATGTATATATATGTATAAACAATATTTTTTTCAACATGGAAATACAACATTAATTTTCGACATTATATATAACCAATAATTACAAACTAATTGTAAAATTTATGAGTGAAAGAGGATACGCGAGTAATATCCTCTATCATTAGTTGTGAATATATAAATATAATAATATAATTGTTTTTGAATTTATAACAGTTATCATGTATGAATTTTTACATCATTTGGAATAAGTATTTATATTTTATCTTTATATTTAATGATTTACTATATATTTAAATTATATTGATGATTACAAAAGTATGCAGTTGTATAACTATAAGTTGTGAACTATCAAATTAGTTTCAATAGCAATACGAGTCGATTTTATGACACATTTATTTATTTATTAGATAATAACATTTTTATTTATTAATATAATAATTAATAATATAATAACATATTTAATAATTAATAATATAATAACATTTTTATTTATTATATAATAAAAAAGCATGATACAAATAAAAATAAGAATGGAAATAAAAAAAAGAGATAGCGAACGTTTCGACCCTATTTTTGGGTCATCTTCAGCGCAAATGTTATGATGTGATAAAAATATAACAATGATGTTACATATCTGAATCAATGAGATAAGATGCCGTCCAAATAAGTAATACTAAATGTCTCGGTATCTCATTATCTTGACGATGCCTATGTAAAAAAGTGGAACAAGATAAATGGATAATGTAAACTAATATAATAGGGAACACATAATGGAAATAAATAATAAAATTTAACGTAAAAAGTATAAAAAGATGCAAGGATTTAAATGTCCAATTTTAAAAAACTATATACCTATTTTAAAAAACTTTAAAATAAATATTTTTAAATAAATATAAACTGAACATAGAGTCAAAAATAAATAAAAATTAAAGAAATCATGAGATAAAAATCATGAATAAAAATTAAAGAAATCAGAAGATCATGCCTTTAATTGGGAAGATGTACAGATTTTAGATCGGGAACCATTTTTGAGTTGAAGATTGATTTCTGAAATGCTATATATAAAAAGGCAAAAAAAATGGTTTAAATTTGCAAACGGATACTGAACATTTACCGGAAATTTATTTAAATATTGTAAACAACTTGTCAAAAATTTAACATATAGTTTTCTCATAACAAAAAGGTCTGCGACTTTGCTTATGTGTACATTTATATATCATTTGACTCACTTTACTGTTTATAAATTAATCACATCTATCGGTTAAAGCTTTAACCGATTGTTGCAAACGTGACTAAAAATATATATGTTGCAAACATAACAGATACATGACTAACTTCATTGAACTATATTTAATATCTTTTTAATCATTTAGTACTTGTGTAATATTATTTGACCAAATATTTCCTCTGTATCTTTTGCAAATTTTAAACAAATTCTGAATATTATTTCTATATGTTTTTGTCATTTGAATCGACGTTATATGTTTCCCATAAGAACACATGTTAATTCGGATTCGCAAAATCCTTAAAATCCTCACGGTAAAAAACATTTTGTATTTCTGTAAAAATTTTCTTGTGTAAAAATTGTGTTAAATTTTTAACATACTCTTATGTTAATATAACATATTATCGTTGCGTTATTTTGACATTTCTGCGTTGAGTTAATATTCACCATTTCTAAGAGTTAAAACAACACAATTAATATGTAAATGCACGAATTTTTGATGAAATATGTTATATGTTAAAATGAACAGATAAATTGTGTTATTTTTCTCTCTATAACAGTTTCCATATGTTGAATCGACATATGTCTTCTCGGTTGATTGTCATAAAAATGTAAAAATAACATTTTCTTTTAATTAAATTTAACATTATAAATATGTTAATTTAACATAAACTTTATTTCCAGATAAAGTTTAAGTGTTACACTTTTGTGTTAATTTTTAAACATATTACTTATGTTATTTATTTACATACTTGCCTTCTGTTAAATTAACATTAAAATTAGAGTGGATAAATTGGGACATGTGAAATATGTTAAATTTAACACAAAATTTTTTACTGTGCTTATAACTTGTGAACGCTTTAGTGATTCGATTTAAAAATTATACTGAAGATTCTAAATATATGTAAGAACATTCTGTACAATTTTCATTAATTCATTTATATATTTTTATCATTTATATATTATATTTCATTTCTCAATATTTTGAAAATAGGTACATCCTTAATTAAAGCCGTAGACAATGTTCAGAAATCAAAGTCGCGCCAACGTCGAGCGCAATAATGGCCATGCGCAGAAACGAATGCGCACCGGTTCGGCCGCCATGTTAGTTCCGCGCCATAGCACCACGTCATGTGACGTCATACGTGAATCAGAGTCATACGCAGTTACGCGGTTCGTCGTAGATCCGCATTTTTCGCATCTTTTAACCGTAAATAAACGAATATCGCGAGTGAACGAGCGTCGAGAGTGTCCGAGGATGATCGCGCGACTTTCACAATACGATGGAAGCGCGCGTCAGCTGATTTTGACAGTTCGATGACAGCGCGATCGCGAAGGCGGAGCGAGGTCGCGTCGCGTTTTTCGCGCTCTTGACGATGATTATCGATCACGAGCGAGATCGGGAGTGCTGAATAAAGTGTCGCGTGTTCGCGTTGACGATATCGTGCGAGTTTGCGTGCATCAAGATTGGAATGGGACGTCCCGAGGCGAGCGAATGGAGGCCTGTGGAACAGCCGGTGAACGGTGAGTCGATTTTATCATATTTGCGTGACAATTCGTGCTCATTCGACGCTTATACAGCATCGCGATGTCCCGAATTACGTTCGGGCAAATCGGCGCCGCGTCATAATTCGATGCGACGCGGTGCAATTGAAATAAAGTCGATCGCGTGAAGATGATTAGGCTATAAGCGATTTGAAGTTTATTTTATATACGCAGAGGGTCTGTTTTTTATTCCTGCACTGCTGCACTAGTGCAATAAGTTAGAAAGAGACAAACATACTTTCTTTCACTCTAACTAATTGCACTAGTGCAGCAGTGCAGGAATAAAAAACAAACCTAGAATCTTGTAGGGATGCCAACTGTCAAACGATAATTTTTCCGATCTAACCTAACCTAACCTCTCAGTGTTGTGTCAGATGTCGAATGTAAACACAAGCCATGTGCTATGTGGATTTTACCATTAAAAATGATATTTAAAAATATTTAATCTTTAAAAATTAATGTTTAAAATAATATTTTAAAAATAATGTTTAATCTTTAAAAATTAATATTTAAAATAGTATTTTAAAAATGATATTTAAAAATATTTAATCTTTAAAAATTAATATTTAAAATGATATTTGAAAAATAATATTTAATCTTTAAAAATTAATATTTAAAATAGTATTTTAAAAATAATATTTAATTATTAGTGTAATACATTTTATTACATAATATATTAATTCATAATAATACATTAATATATTAAATGTGCGACGTACAATTTTACACATTTTAATGAGGAGTTTATAATATAATTTTATTTACTTTTAGGTTAGGTTAAATTAGATCAAAACAAGCTGCTGTAATGATGCATTTAATGTAAAAGTATTAATTTGATTTAATGAGTAGAAGAATGAGAACTTTTGAAGTTAAATGATATTTGTAGACACATTTGTAAAGTAATCATGAGTGTCGTATCTCATCTCAATTACATGAAGCTAAAATACAAAATATTTATGTATCCCTCATTAATGTAATTTATTACAAGTATTATATTATTTTTCTTATATCTCAATCGTATTCAACCACATTATTTCATTGATGAAGCTTTTCACATATCGCAGACAATACGATGCATGGAATTTTACTCAGGTAATACGTGGCACAAAAATAATTTGCTCTCAAGTATTGCGCGCAATTCTCAAGAATAAATCAAATTAAATTATTTTCAGTGGGATTTAAAAATCACTACGTTGCCAGGATTGTATCATATTACAACTGTTATCACCTTTTAATATATGCAATATTACATGCATAAAATGTATAAATTATTTGGAACGTGCCTAAATCTTTATCTTATTTATAATATTTGTATTATAAAAGAAAATTGTAAATCTAATGAAACAAACCGGTAGAATAATTTGTTGATACTTATGCTGGCCTACAATATTACCTTTTTCTACCATTATACTTTTGGTGCTTTTTTTATTATACGAATGTTATATCTGTAAATATAGTACGTAATGTTGTTTCTGTATCAATGTAAGCACACAAAAATGACAGCGTTTGCAAGCAATTACACTATATTTATATAAATCATAAGGAAGAGAAAATTAAAGTTAAATACGCCCTAAAGTAAATTTCATCTAAATAAATAAATGCGTAAATGTGCACTCCACATTTCTCATGAACAAAAATACATAATATTAATCTTTACACTGTATTATTATTTTTAGATTTTTTATTCTTTTGAATTCTCTAGATGCATTTTTCGTTTCTGCTCTCTTTCTTTTCAACTACTAAAAATAGATCTATGTCATTTTTGGTGTACATTATTGCAGAAAACGCAAGAATAAAAAGCAAACTTGTTAAGCACCTTTAAAATGTACAGGAAGGTCAGTTTTGTTTGATGCGTTTTTTTCAATAGATAAAAATATCCAAAAAAAATTTGAAATAATTCATACACCTTTTTTAATTCTTCTAAATAAAAATTAGAATAATAAATTTGCAAAATAATAAGGAAAAAATAATAAGGAATTATAGGAAATCAAGGTAATAATAAGGAATTATAGGAAATAATGATAATAATAGGGAATTATAGGAAATAAAGATTAGAATAATAAATTTGCAAAATAAAGAAAAATAATAAGGAATAAATTTACAAACAGTAAGGAAAAAAAAGACCAACATTTTAAATTTCACATGGATGTTTAATTTTTCTAATGTAACACTTCGTTCATAAAGATTTTATTTTGAAACGTTTACACATAAAAGTACAATGATTAAACGCTTCTTTATTCTACTGTTTCATCTTCGCGTGTTCATCGTATATATGCAATTTTAGATATTTCGATATTTCAAAAATTATTGAAAAATTAATTTTTGACTTTAGAACTATCGAAAACTGTTATCAAAAATAATAATTTTCATAAATTTCAAATAATTCATCACATGTCATTTCACAAATAATAATTGCTCTTAAAATTTTTTTTTAAATTCGTAAATTGTCGTGTCAGCTTCATAGACACAATTTCGACCACGTATGATGCACGAGACAAAATCGAGACAAAATCGTGTTAGTTCAAAGCTACCATTCATAGGACTCCTGATCCAGTTTATTTGATTTGTTTATCTGGTTGTATCTTTATCAATAATAGCAGAATACAATGTCTTGAAAATACATAACACTACCTATCACCCATGAGTCATGTTGTTCTATACATTGGAGCCATGTGGCCTCCACGACCCCATCACGAGTGTATTCAAGTTCAAATTTCTGAAATCTGTGACCCACCTGGGTCTCTATCCATTTCTGATATTACTGTACAAACAGACCATAGGTATATATTTCAAAGTAATGAATAGTTACTGTTCAGTTTCTCTGTGGCAATCAGTACGTTCAGAGATATAACTACAATATTACTGAAATTTGAGTTTGTTTTAATAATATCGAATAAGTTTTAATAATATTGAATAAGTCAACTTAAATAATAAGTTTTTTTACGTTTTAACAGTTTCAAGTTAAATTAGAGTTTAACATTTAAAAAAACATCATCTTTTCAGGTAAAGCCAGGTCATTGAAGAGCAATCATGCAGAGTGTTGTGGTTCTATTATTGCTGGCAGTAGTTGCCACAGGGTACGCTGTTTCCTTTAACAAAATTCGAGATGGAGAATGGTTCATCTTTAAGGTATAAAATCGTTGTATTTACTATCAATTGCATCTTGCGTCATATAAATATTTATTTCTCCCATATTCAATTATTAATTCGGTGAATAATAATAATAAGATATGAATGTTGTCCACAATATATCAGAGATATATAATATGCTAGAGATTATTTTTTAACTTGTGGATCATATTTCTCTTCTGTAGAATATTTGTGTGCAAATTTAATCGAAATCGATACTGCTAGAACGAAACAAAGCTATAGAAATGATTTAAGATGTTACTATATAAGAAACTCTTTAAAAGAAAAGGAAATTTTACAGACATAAATAAAACAAAGTTAATATTTTATAGTACGAATATTGCAAGATGCAATAAAATTTGAAATGTTTCTAGTAATTATTCAAATGATCGAGAAACAGAATAAATATTAATTGTATTAATATTACTAATTATATTAATATTATTATATAAATATTAATTATATTTATTATTATTCCTAGACCCACCATAAAAAAGTTTACAAATCCCCGATCGAAGAGGGATACAGAATGAAAATCTTCTTGGATAACAAGCATAAGATTGTTGAGCATAATCGCAAGTATGAAATGAAGGAAGTTAACTACAAACTAGGAATGAATAAATATGGAGATATGGTGAGTTCTGGAAAGTGAATTGTATTTTAATTTTGTGATTAATTTCAATGAGCAATCTTTTGGGAAATACATATTTTTTTTTATAGTTACATCACGAATTTGTCAATACTTTGAATGGTTTCAACAAATCAGAGACTGTTAGTGAAGAACAACTTATAGGAGCAACATTCATTGAACCAGTTAATGTTGAATTAGCAAAATCTGTCGATTGGAGAACAAACGGCGCTGTCACTGCAATTAAGGATCAAGGACAATGTGGATCCTGCTGGGCATTTTCTTCAGTAAGCTTGTTTGCCTTTTCGACATCGAATATCTCAATTCAACCTTAAACAATTTTCTAAAACATCTTTGAACTGTTGATGTTTAAATCCATATTTAAATAATTATTTAGTACATAATTATTTAATACATTTTGAATTTTAATATTTTAAAGTTTTTTTATATATGCAGTATTTAACTTTTTCTTGATATATGATAATCTTGTCATCATAAACGATTATCCATGTGTTTATTCTCTTTTTACAGACTGGAGCTTTGGAAGGACAGCATTTTAGACAATCTGGTGTTTTAGTGTCATTGAGTGAACAAAACTTGATCGATTGTTCCGGCAAGTATGGTAACAATGGATGCAATGGTGGTTTGATGGATTACGCTTTCCGATATGTTAAAGAAAATAAAGGCCTTGATACTGAAAAGAGTTACCCATATGAAGCAGAGAATGACCAATGCAGGTATGTGTTAATTGTCATGACAGAAACATTTGTTCGTCGAATTTGATGATTTATATTCCTGGAATTGCAGATATAATCCGAAAAACAGTGGCGCTTCTGACGTTGGCTTTGTGGACATTCCAGAAGGAGATGAGGAAAAATTGAAAGCTGCGGTTGCCACCATAGGTCCGATCTCGGTTGCCATCGATGCCTCTCACGAATCCTTCCAGTTTTATAGCGAAGGTACATGTTATACATGTAATATAGTTAATTATAAAATATTATTTATAAAATAATTTAATTATAAAATATTATTTATAAAATAATATTAACAATTTTAGGCAGTTTAATGATTTTGCTAATCAACAAAATATAGAATATACTAAAAAAAAACGTAAAATTTTATTTAACAAGTTTATAAATTAAATATTATAAAATTTTATAAATATTAACGTATTTATATATTTTTATAACATATACATTTGGATACACATTGTTTATTCTATAAAAAATCATGAATTTTTTCAATCTTTCTCGTATTTCTTTTTTTTAATTTTTGCACAATTTTCAGGAGTTTATTACGAGTCTGAATGCAGTCCGACAGATTTGGATCATGGTGTACTGATTGTTGGTTATGGCACAGATTCGGGAAGTGGTGAAGATTATTGGCTGGTAAAGAATAGTTGGGGTGAAACATGGGGCGAAAAGGGTTACATTAAGATGGCCAGGAATAAGAATAATCATTGTGGTATAGCGAGCAGTGCCAGTTACCCTCTCGTTTAACATTCAATGTCAATTGGCAAGCCAAATTTTTCAATTTGTTGTAATCTGTCTGAAGCAAGACAGATGTACTTAGGGACCTAATAAAGTTTCGAAATTTCTATTAAAAAAAATTCTTGGCGTACTTCTTAAACAACAATCTCGTCAAAATTACAATTTGTAGCCCGAATGTAAATTTTGGCAATTTTATGACCAATATTCGTTTCTTCCCGCCAGCTATGATAAAGAATTTACAAAGATCAAAAATTTGTTGACAATTTTATAACTTTTCGTTCTTATATAAATAATTTTTAATAAGCATAAAAATAGGAATTAAAAATAAGGAATTATAGGAAATAATGGTAATAATAAGGAATTATAGGCAATAAAGATTAGAATAATAAATTTGCAAAATAATAAGGAAAAATAACAAGGAATAAATTTGCAAAATAATAAGGCAAAAAGACGATTTTAAATCTCACATGGATGTTTTATTTTTCTAATATTTCTAATGTAACATTTCATTCATAAAGATTTTATTTTGAAACGTTTACACATAAAAGTATAATGATTAAACGCTTTTTTATTCTACTGTTTCATCTTCGCGTGGCTTTTATAAAGTATTTGTGCATCTGGATTTTCATAAAATATATAAAATATATTGTTATAAAAATATATAAAATTTATAATAAGTCAGAAAGAAGAAAGAAAGAGAAAGATTAAAAAACTTATTTATATTGGAAATTTATATAATACGTATCTTGTATTTGTATTTGTAACATTTGTATTACCGACACTATAGCACAGTATAGAACAGAACCAATTTCTGTAGATCAAATATATGTAGATAAAATCGTCTTCTTCCAATTGAAATAATTCCACGTCGTCAGATGTCAGGAGGTATCACAACAAAAATGGCGTTGTTCACGAAAACATCAATTTGACAGCTGACTCAGCTGACTTCTTTCTGCTGATTCTTCTGACATTTGTATAAAAATTAAAATATAAAAAGAAGAAAAATAATTGTTTAAAAATGTCGAGCATCACAATATCAGCCATAAGACCGCGGACTAGTATCCTCGACAAGTCGTTGAGCAAAGGTAAGGGAGAAGTTAGCCTGAGCTGTTTCGCCCTCTTGTTTTCCGAACTCGTGCAGTACTGTCAAAACAGAGTCTACACCGTTCCAGAGTTGCAGAATAAGTAAGAAAAACGAAACAATCTTCCCTTAAAAACCTATCGAGTATCTTTTAATTGTCTGATCAAACATCCCTTATTTGACTAGATTGGCTGAGATGGGAGCTGAGGTCGGACACAGGATAACAGACTTGCTCGTGATGCGAGAAAAGAATGGTAAACGCGAGATAAAATTGCTCAACGTATTGTTGTTCGTCAAGAGCACAATGTGGAAATCTCTGTTTGGCCGGGAAGCTGATAAGCTGGAACACGCCAACGATGACGAGCGAACGTATTACATCATCGAGAAGGAGTCCTTGGTAAACAAATTTGTATCGGTGCCCAAGGATAAGGGAAGCTTGAACTGCGCCTCCTTCGTCGCTGGAATCGTGGAGGCTGTACTCTGCGATTGTGGCTTTGTAAGAATCTCCCTGATCATCAATAATTTTGAATATAATTGATGACATATACAGGGTGTTTCAGACACTCGTACCACCAATTTAAAAACTAGAGAAGTGGTTATTTCAAAAAAGTAAAAACATTTTCTTCATAAATGTTCTATCGAATGATGATATTTTCAACTTCTGGTTCCGGCCGAAAATAGGCGATTCAGACCGGAAGTGAATTTTTTTAAATGGAACCCTCTATTTTTCATTGCATATTCTTGTAGCTTAGCTCGAGAGCTTTCCAAGACAATATAATAAATTATTTTTCCATGAAGTACTTTTCGAGATATGAGGCTTGAAATAATTTCTTAATTTTACATAAACCATAAAATATCTTGTAAAATATTCATTTTTCGATTATCTTACCTTAATACTTTTATATACAAAATAATGAGAGGAATCAATTGGTGTAAAGAAAACACATAGTTGTTTCTAAGAAAAAATATGTAATTTGCAATTAACAATTCCATATTTTTTCTTAAAAACAACTGTATGTTTTCTTTACACCAATTGATTCCTCTCATTATTTCGTACATAAAAGTATTAAGGTAAGATAATCGAAAAAAAAATATTTTACAAGATATTTTATGGTTTATGTAAAATTAAGAAATGATTTCAAGTCTCATAACTCGAAAAGTACTTCATGGAAAAATAATTTATTATAGTGTTTTGGAAAGCTCTCGAGGTAGTAAGCTACAAGAATATGCAATGAAAAATAGGGGGTTCCATTTTAAAAAATGCACTTCCGGTCTGAATCGCATATTTCTGGCCGAAATCAGAAGTTGAAAATATCATCATTCGATAGAACGTACCCGATTTATAAAGAAAATGTTTTTACTTTTTTGAAATAACCACTTCTCTAATTTTTAAATGGGTGGTACGGATGATCTGAAACATCCTGTATAATTAGAACAAGTATTTGCACAGCTTATAGAAGCTGGAAATTGACAATTAAAGATGGGGTAAAAATGTTGAATAGCTTCTATACTTTTTTATTCTGCTCTATAAACTGTCGAGAGAAATATGATTTCATACGCATGATGTAATGCTTGTTCTAGTTAGTATATATCATGAAAAATAATCTACTCAATCTAGTCTTTATTATGTATTTTTATAGAGAGATTTGTAAAAATATTTTAATCACCTTTGCAGCCTGCAAAAGTAACTGCTCACTGGCACAAGGGAACCACATATATGGTCAAGTTTGATGATGCTGTTGTCGCGCGTGATAAACAACTTGAAGATCGGTAATAGAAAAAAAAAGTTATAAGAATTCCAGAGAAAATATAAATAATATATTTGTATAAAGCTTATCTTAATTATTAAGATAAATCGAAAAGAACCTCAGTTACAAAGTTACTTTACATATATGCGGTTTATATTGTTAAGACTGGTTTTTTTTGGATTAATTAAATGTTACAAAGACTTGAAGTGTCTTTTTTGAAAAATCTTAGTTTTCTCTAATATTAGATTTAAAATTAATATTATATTGGATTTAAAATTAATATTATATTTCGATAATTTATTTTATTATATAATAATACATCACAACTGTACTTTTATTTTGCTAAATAATTATGTGTCTAATATTTTAGACGAATTTATATGGTCTGTCCGCATAACTAACTTGTCCGGTACGATATAAATGTTCTTGTGCATCCTGTGGGAAATACAATGTTAGAGTATATTTTAATATTGTAGCAATTTTTATATATCATAAATTCTTAAAAAATATCTAGCTTACTTTTCTCTTTTTGAGAAGCACTGCAGTAAAGACAATGGCAGCTGTAATGGTTCCCACTTTTGTAAGGTAGCCTAACGCTGTAGGCACAAAAAGCTGTCGTATCGACATTTTTGACGCCGCAAATCTGTGTAGCGCTGAATCAAACTGCATACACATAGAATGAATAATTGTGAGAAATTAAAAACATCAATTCATACATTACTAATAAAATTATCAAAACAAAATTATTCTTGCGCTGACAAGTTACTAAATTAGATGACACAAGATAGCTCTTGTTGTGTTTAACAGATTTGTCCTGTTACATAATTTCTGTACGAACATATTTGTGGATTGTAAAACACAAAGTATACTCAAAATATTACACAAGTATATATTTATTATTATTAATGGATCATGGATCTTCTTTATTATCACTATTGTATTTTAATATTATTATTTAAAAAATATTAAGCACGCATGACACTTTTTTTAATGCAACATGAATATCGAAATTGCGTCAAATGCGAGGGATAACACAAGTTATTTTCATACGAATGAATAGAAATAAAATATTGAATAAAATAATCTCTGCGAGATAGTAAATATTGTGCCAAATATAAATATCATAAATGTTTATAAAGGTTAGGTTCTAGATTTTTTTTGACGTACCAGAAGACTCTTGGTCGGATGTCCAGAATCCTTCAGGTACAACTCGCGTAACTGCCTTCGTTTCGCGTCTCTCCATAACGCAATCTCCCGTTGTTCCGGAGTGATATTATAATATTCCTTCTTCGGCATATTTCGTCCTCTCGTCTTCTATCGTTTCTTTCACTTCTCTGTTTTATCACGCGAACAGGCACACGTGCGACTCTTATCGACCGTGCAATTTGCAAAAGTCATGAAATTCAAATATTTTTATACGCATTTTGTTTCAAAATATTTAAACGAATAATTTTTCAAGTAGAAAAATTCTACAATAATATTTAAAATTCTACAATAATCATTTAGAAGTATTCTACAATAATATTTGTCGAATTCCAACTTAAACTCAACTGCCATTTCTTGAAAAATATAAAAAAATATTATTTTCAACAAAAAATATTTAATTTCTGAAATATAAAAAAATACTTTTTTTATATAAATATGTGTACATATATTTATACAAAAAAAATTATTAATTTATGTATTATTAAATTTATTTTATTTATAGAAAATATTTTGATAGTATTTATACAAAAAATATTTTGTATATTTTTTATGAAAAATTAATAATATTTTTATTTTTTTATATTTTATATATATAATATACATAAATTTATTTCTTTTTCTACATGTAAAAAGAAAATATAATGAGGAAAGAACCTCTCAAAAATGGAATTAAATTAATAAACTCCTTTTCATGAATTTCTTAATTTTAATATCATATACAAAGCGATAAATTGTACGTTTCGATACTAAAATATATTGACAAGTTTATTTTTTATGTATTAAAAGATTACTAAATTTCTCCGAAAGTGGAATTAATAATAATCGGTTTAATTTCTGAAAAGATCTAATGATGCGTGCATTAATGAAGCGTGATCTGTCATTGTTCGTTCGGAAACGACGCAGTAGGATAGAGATGAGTTTATCGCAAGTGACTCTTTAATCGCGAATTATCATTTCCGCCTTCAAAAAAGAGCAGTCTTGCATACGATTACGAATCTGGGTTACTCGATATTCATTTATCACAGGCACATGATTCGCAGGCGTTTAATTCGCGGGCGTAACATTGCACAATCATCGTACATATATGTGTATATATATATAGGGTGTCGTAAAACCACCGTACTTCCTGTTAATAATAATATAAAGAGAGTATCGCTTTCATAAAAGCACCCCTTTCACTTGTCATTTTGCCTGAACGCACAAAAAATTTCAATATGCAGCACAGACCATTGTTACATTGCAGCTATATTTCGGAAATATTGCTGCAATGTAACAACAATATTTGCGGCAATATTGCTGCAGTATAGCAACAATATTTGCGGCAATATTATTACAACATAACAACAATATTGCGGAAATATTGCTGCAATATAACAACAATATTTGCGGCAATATTGTTGCAATGTAACAACAATATTGCTGCAATATAACAAACATATTCTGTGTTGTACAGGTAGCCTCGACATTTTTTTCTTAGGATTTTCGTCTTAAAATGACCTAAGGAATCTGTAATTAAGACAAAGTACGGTAATTTCAGGCTACCCTGTATGTGTACTCTATATCGGAGTACATCGGGCGCGTCTCGTCTCGACAAAAGAATGTAAAAAAAGATCATGCGTTGGAATTTGACGGATAAACAAACTGACGCGCGCTTCCGATTTGATCGTCAATGAATCACGTAGTCTACGAAAAGAAAGAAACAATCACACGGCTTGGGGCGAGGGGTGGGGAGACTCGGGAAAGATGAGAGATACAAAAGATCGATGCGAAGTTGTCTCCAGTCGTTGTCGCTCGCTCGTCGCAGGTGGTTGGTCGTCACGATTCGCGGTAGCTAATCGTTTTCTTCCGTTAAGAGAGAAAATTCCAGTGAGTATATATTTAATTAACAATTTTTCGCGTTCCTCCGTTCGATTTCCAGCCCAACTTTTTCGCTTTCCGAGTAAAATCACGATGCTTATGGATGATGTAACCTCTTTAGTGAGAAAAAGGACAAAGAAATCGACGCGTAGAATCATAAAACTACTGCGAACTTGATCTCTCGTGTTTCTCGACTCCCTTCTAAAATTTCGATATACACATTTTTCGTCTCTTGCGCGTAAGACTTGATGTTTATCTCGATTTTCATAACCGTGCGAAGCATCTGTGCGTAGAGAAGTTGGCCAATTATGTGCTTGAGCGTAAAATCGTGACAATAGAGTCGTTCGTGTCGACAGACACGCTTAAGGCCCGGTTTCATTTGCTCGTACAGTTGATTAAAAAATTAGAAAACCGAAATTATAGCGTCAACATACGACTCGTGCTCGCTTGACATATGTTTTTTACACCCTGTATAACATTGTCATTCGATGATCGTACTTTCTTTTCGTGTCTTTGTGTCCGAAATAATTGTGGGTGACAAATGAACGATGTCACGATGAAAACGCACATTTGCGGTCTACTTTTATATATATATATATATATATATATATATATATATATATATATATATATATATACCGCGTGACTCAATAAAATCACAAATAATGCAGAATGTAAGCAGTCGCCTATCTAATGCGTAGTTGGGAGATTACATATTTCATTTTTTTTTTCTTTAACTTCTCGTGACGCGCAGTTTACTATCACGTGATTTCGTCAATCGAGAGATAATGTCTGATATTTATTAATGTTTGACAGATATTAACGTCACATCGCACGATACATCGCTTTGATTCCCGAGAAGTCGAATTGAATTGAATTGAATGATAAAATAGACCTAGAGATCGCACGAATATACGACTAGTCTTGAATCAGCTGATAAATGTCAAATGCGCTTTGCAACAATAACACACGTGTATTTGTATTTTTTATTTTGTTTTATAAAACGGTCTTTAAGGGGCCTAAAATTTAAGAATATTTTATTAATATTTCATAACAAATATTCCTCTTGATGCTGATTATTTTCATTGAACGTAATTTATTTTTTTTTTGCAGAATATTTTCCAAATTTTGATACAGAAATTTTTATAAAGTAGAATTTGTATATCCAAGAAGCAAAGCACTCGTTATCTGCCTGCTGTTCATTGATAGCTTTGATACTCTCTTAATCTAAAACTTTAATAACAAATAAATGTGTCTTGGATTAAGGATGTTTTGTATGTACAATCCCAGCAAAAAGTAGCTGAAAATTAATATTGACGAATATATCCACTTTTGCTGTATTTTGAGTAAGAAATTGTGTGGAATATTACAATTTGATTTTAGCTACAGTGCAGAGTATTTATTGCGTTTTTACTGAAATATTCCGAATTTTGTTAATCAAAATGATTAACTTTTCTTGGTAGAGAATTTTGCTTTGTGACAGATACGTGGCTAACTTGATTGAATTATATTTAATATCTTTTTAACCAGTTAATACTTGTATAATATTATTTGACCAAATATTTCCTCTGTATCTAAATTTTTGCAAATTTTAAACAAATTCCGAATATTATTTCCATGTGTTTTTGTCATTTAAATCGACGTGGTTATACGTTTCCCATAAGAACACGTGTTAATTTGGTGCAAACTAAAATCCTTATAACTTGTGAACGCTTCAGTGAATCGATTTAAAAATTGTACCGAAAATTCTAAACATATGTAAGGACATTCTGTACAATTTTCATTAAATTCTCAATATTTTTAAAATATTTTTAAAATTCTCAATATTCACAAAACATCCTTAATGTATCTGTGTTTTTAGAAAACGATAATTAAAGTTGCAAAAATTTTATCAGATGAAATAATGCAAAAGAATATTTAAAACAATTCTCTCTCTTTTTTTTTCTCTTTCTCTATCTCTCTGTCTATCTGTTTGTCTTTCGTACAATAATACAATAGTTAGATTGAGAATTGACATTTCGATAAAACTATTACAGCAAATTAATTAATTTAAAAAATTATCATTAATAATAATATACTTAATTATTAAATAATAATAATTACAAAAATAATAATAATTACAAAAATAATAATAATTACAAAAATAATAATTAAAAAAATAATTAAAAAAATAATAATTTTAGTTACCTTCTTTCTCAATTTTTTTTATTAATCTCTTTGTCTGCTTATCTCTTGAATTCAGGAATTAATAACGATGCGGCATAAATCAGTCTAATTAACAAATAAATTTAGTGAAAAAATCGATTTAAAAATTGTACTGAAGATTCTAAACACATGTAAGGACATTCTGTACAATTTTCATTAAATTCTCAATATTTTGAAAATAGATACAAAACATCCTTAAGATATGTTCGAAAGTCCGAAACTTTTAAAAATAAACAAAGAAAAATAAGAGACTTGTCGATCCTGACGAGTTTTCCTGGATAAGTTGTTCGTCTGTTTATATTTCAATAATGGGCTGCTAGAAATTCTGAGAGAGTCATTTTCACTATTTCATTCTCGTATTTTATCGTAGGAAAAAATCTGACACTGGGTCGAAGCGAGACGATTATTATTGCCAGCATCGTTTCCGTGCTAGGTTCGCATTTCTCGATGTATATGTTGCAAGAAACATGCGTCATCATCGAAACCGCAATCCTATCACGGGATAACTGATGTCGTTTAAATGATTACTTGTCCTTCGAGGAACATAGGATGAAGAAAAAAAATAAATCGCTCAATCTCTCGATAAATAATTTCCAATCGATCCAGACCACACATTCGTAAAATTAAGTGCGTAGTTTCTTCCTATCTTTATTCATTCTTTTTTTTAATTATCAGAGGAAAAAATGAAGCTGCTCTTTCTTGGACAAAGATAAGACTTCGTAGAGGACGACAATCATGATACTTAAGAATGACGACTCAGGCTGTTCATAAATATTGTTATTTTTGAAATTTCGACGTGTCTGTGAAGCTGACATGACAATCTGCGAATTTCAAAAAACTACTAAGAATTTTGATAGTATTTTTCATAGGTCTACAGTTCCTGATAAAGATTAAAAAGACTTTCGTATTTCTTATATTAAAATAATTCGAAATCGAAAAACGCGTTGAATATCATTATTTTTAGCAAGAGTTCCCAATAATTCTATTCAAGTTCATATGCAATTTTAGATCGATATTTCAAATAATAATTTTTAATAATTTATTCTTAATTATTATAATTTATTCTTAATTTTCAATAATTTATTTTTAATTATAATTTATTCTTAATTTGTAATAATTTATTAATTATTCTTAATAATTTTTAATCAATTTTTAATATTTTCGATAATTTTCGACAGTTTTATAAAAGTTTTAGCCTTTAAATACATTTTTTTAGAGTTTCGACCATTTACTATCTTTTTAAAAAATTTTTTATAATTACTCAGCATGCCACTCTTCCTCTAAGTACTGAAATGCATTAAAAATTATTATTTTGGATAACAGTTCTCAATAGTTTTGTTCAAGCTCATCGTATATATGCAATTTTAAATATTTCGATATTTCAAAAATTATTGCAAAATTAATTTTTTACTTCAGAACTATCGAAAACTGTACTTCAGAACTATCAAAAATAATAATTTTCATAAATTTCAAATAATTTCTCATATGTCATTTCAAATAATTTCTCATAAATTTCAAATAATTTCTCACATGTCATTTCAAATAATAATTTCTCATAAATTTCAAATAATTTATCGTATGTCATTTCAAATAATAATTTCTCTTTAAATTTTTTTTTTAAACTCGTAGATTGTTGTGTCAGCTTCACAAACACAATTTCGACCACGTATGATGCACGAGACAAAATCGAGACAAAATCGTGTTAGTTCAAAGCTATCATTCATAGGACTCCTGATCCAGTTTATCTGATTTGTTTATTTGATTGTATCTTTGTCAATAATAGCTGAATACAATATCTTGAAAATACATAACACTACCTATCACCCATGAGTCATGTTGTTCTATACATTGGAGCCATGTGGCCTCCACGACCCCATCACGAATGTATTCAAGTTCAAGTTTCTGAAATCTATGATCCAGCTGGGTCTCTATCCATTTCTGATATTACTGTACAAACAGATCATAGGTATATATTTCAAAGTAATGAATAGTCAGTGTTCAGTTTCTCTGTGGCAATCAGTACGTTCAGAGATATAACTATAACAATATTACTGAAATTTGAGCTTGTTTTAATAATATCGAATAAGTTATCAAGTTAAATAATAAGTTTTTTTACGTTTTAACAGTTTCAAGTTAAATTGGAGCTTAACATTTAAAAAAACATCATCTTTTCAGGTAAACTATTGAAGAGCAATCATGCAGAGTGTTGTGGTTCTGTTTTTGCTGGCAGTAGTTGCCACAGGGTACGCTGTTTCCTTTAACAAAATTCTAGATGCAGAATGGTTCATCTTTAAGGTATAAGATCATTGTATTTACTATCAATTGCATCTTACGTCATATAAATATTTATTTCTTTCATATTCAATTATTAATTCTGTGAATAATAAGATATGAATGTTGTTCGCAATATATCAGAGATATATAATATGTTAGAGATTATTTTTTAACTTGCGGATCATATTTCTCTTCTGTAGAATATTTATGTTTAGCAAATTTAATCGAAATCGATACTGCTAGAATGAAACAAAGTTATAGAAATGAAAGATGTTACTATATGAGAAACTCTTTAAAAGATAAGGAAATTTTACAGACATAAATAAAACAAAGTTAATATTTTATAGCACGAATATTGCAATTATTCAAATTATTAAGAAACAGAATAAATAATAATTATATTAATATTATTAATTATATTAATATTATTAATTATATTAATATTATTAATTATATTAATATTATTAATTATATTAATATTGATTATATTAATATTATTATATAAATATTAATTATATTTATTATTATTTCTAGACTCACCATAAAAAAGTTTACAAATCCCCGATCGAAGAGGGATACAGAATGAAAATCTTCTTGGACAACAAGCGTAAGATTGTTGAGCACAATCGCAAGTATGAAATGAAGGAAGTTAACTACAAACTAGGAATGAATAAATATGGAGATATGGTGAGTTCTGGAAAGTGAATTGTATGATTAATTTCAATGAGCAATTTTCTGGGAAATATATATTTTTCTTTTTTTATAGTTACATCACGAACTTATCAATACTTTGAATGGTTTCAACAAATCAGTGACTGTTAGCGAAGAACAGCTTATAGGAGCAACATTCATTGAACCAGCTAATGTTGAGTTACCAAAATCTGTCGATTGGAGAAAAAAAGGTGCTGTCACTGCAATTAAGGATCAAGGACAATGTGGATCCTGCTGGGCATTTTCTTCAGTAAGCTTGTTTGCCTTTTCGACATCGAATGTCTCAATTCAACCTTAAACAATTTTCTAAAACATCTTTGAACTGTTGATGTTTAAATCCGTATTTAAATAATTATTTAATACATTTTCAATTTCAGTATTTTAAAGTTTTTTTATATGTGCAGTATTTAACTTTTATTTGATATATGATAATCTTGTCATCATAAAGAATTATCCATTGTGTTTATTCTCTTTTTACAGACTGGAGCGTTGGAAGGACAGCATTTTAGACAATCTGGTGTTTTAGTGTCATTGAGTGAACAAAACTTGATCGATTGTTCCGGCAAGTATGGTAACAATGGATGCAATGGTGGTTTGATGGATTACGCTTTCCGATATATTAAAGAAAATAAAGGCCTTGATACTGAAAAGAGCTATCCATATGAAGCAGAGAATGACCAATGCAGGTATGTGTTAATTATCATGACAGAAACATTTGTTCGTCGAATTTGATGATTTATATTCCTGGAATTGCAGATATAATCCGAAAAACAGTGGCGCTTCCGACGTCGGCTTTGTGGACATTCCAGAAGGAGATGAGGACAAATTGAAAGCTGCGGTTGCCACCATAGGTCCGATCTCGGTTGCCATCGATGCCTCCCACGAATCCTTCCATTTTTATAGCGAAGGTACATGTTAGACATATGATATAGTTAATTATGATTATAAAATAATATTAACAATTTTCGGCAGTTTAATGATCTTGCTAATCAACAAAATATAGAATATACTAAACAAAAAACGTAAAATTTTATTTGACAATTTTATAAATTAATTGTTATAAAATTTTATAAATATTAATGTATTTATAAGTTTTTGTAACATATACATTTGGACATACATTTTTTATTCCATAAAAAATCATGGATTTTCTCATAATCTTTCTCGTATTTCTTTTTTTTAATTTTTGCACAATTTTCAGGAGTTTATTACGAGCCTGAATGCAGTCCGGCAAATTTGGATCATGGTGTCCTGATTGTTGGTTATGGCACAGATTCGGGAACTGGTGAAGATTATTGGTTGGTAAAGAATAGTTGGGGTGAAACATGGGGCGAAAAGGGTTACATTAAGATGGCCAGGAATAAGGAGAATCACTGCGGTATAGCGAGCAGTGCCAGTTACCCTCTCGTTTAACGTTCAATGTTAATTGGCAAGCAAAATTTTTCAGTTCGTTGTATTCTGTTTAAAGCAAGACAGATGTATTTAGGGACCTAATAAAGTTTCGAAATTTCTATTAAAAAAAATTCTTAGCGCGCACTTTTTATAACAGCAATCTCGTCAAAATTACATTTGTGGCCCGAATGTAAATTTTGGCAATTTTATGACCAATATTCGTTTCTTCCCGCGAGCTATGATAAAGAATTTACAAAGATCAGAAATTTGTTAACAATTTTATATATTTTTTTTCTACTTATATAAATAATTTTTAATAAGCATTAAAAAAAGGAAATTTTCGCAAAAATCACAAAGATTGTGAATCTTAAAAATGGTGACTTGCTATTCTTCACCTTTATTTGAGATTATTTTAAGTTTTATTTAATACATATATGCTAGAACTTGAAACAATATTACCTAAGATATTTTAAGAAAAAAAAATATTAATCCTTATTCCTCAGTAGAAGTATAAGTTTATATAACTGCTGAATTTAGATATAATTAAGTTGAGGAAGTTTGTTGTAATTATGACACATTTATCTCCGATGATAATTCATGGTCAAGGCATTGTTTACTAGATAAAGTGATCTCTATTTTTTTAAGCGAAAATATAAAATAAAGGAATTTTTAATAGCTGCCATTTTTCCTTATACCTGCCAATTTTTTATAAGTAATACGTCCCGAGTAATTTGTTGCAAAACGTATAATCAATTGCAACAAATTTTCTTTTTGTAGAGAATTACACGCATGATTTGCTGTGTTCAATTATTGATAATCTTTATTTGCGATATCTATAAGCTCTTTGGTGTTATGTAACCAATTCAAAGAATGCAATAATCCATTGTGAACTCATGCATGTGTATGTATGTATAAAAGAACAATTATTTTTATATCTATTGTATAGCAAGAAATATTTGATATTACCATATTGCATGATTTCATCAATTAAGATAAGTCGTTTTTTCTGGAGAAGAATGGTATACAAATTGAAAAACACAAAATCTTTGTGCTCATGTGTAGTATAAAGAATATCTTGTTCATATATGATATTTCAATGCAAAAATAAAATTCAATATTAAAGCCATGTGTAACTAAATACATCTAAAATATATTTTAATTTGAATAATAATGATTTCTTTGAGATATTTATATCGAAAAGTTCATAAATTCAGCACATGTAAAAAATTTATTAATTATGACAGATCAATAACATGTTGATTTGTTAAGAAAATAATCTACAAATTGCTTATAAAGGTACTGTTCATTGGAATTATACTACTATACTTATTATACTTATACTTATCATACTTATACTTAATTATACTTAATTATACTTATAGTTATATTGTTAAGTATTATGACGTTATCTCTTGCTAATTTAATTTGTCACGAAGTATTTTAGTTATTGAAACAATGATTGATTACCATTATCAAATGTCATATTCAATACAGAAGTATTGCGACAATTTTCGATAAGTAGTCAATGTAATTATATCATCAAATCAGAGAAAAACAATTTTCTCTTTGTGTGATATTATCAATCATTATATTGTTATCATTACGTTGCATTTAAGTTAATATCATTTTTATCACAAAACTCAAAGTCCAACCGATTAGTCGAGTAAAACATTTTTCTCTTTTTTATTATTTATTATCTCTCTACTTACATTTTGTAATTCAATCGATAATACATGCTGAAACAGATAACGAGCACAAATTTCGAAAATTATCTTAATGTATCGTACGTAATACATGAAAACATATTTTTTATATTCATTGTTAAAGTACGATTCCTGACATATAAGCTTTAATCTTTTATATTATCTATATTAATATCAATTTTAATATAATTAATTTTATTCACAATTTTTTTTTATAATAATATTTACTAATATTTTATATATATATATATATATATATATGTATATATATATTAATATTAATTTTTATATTAATATATATTTCATACATATAAAATATAATATATTTCATACATATAAAATATACATATATTTTATATGTATATTTTTATATTAAATATATAATAATTATATAAAATATTGTGGATGAATAAATTATATTTTAATATATATTTTATAAATGATATAAAATATTTTATATTAATATATATACAGGGTGACCCATTTTAACTTAGGCAGCCAAATAACTCGAAAAATAAGCACACTACGAAAAAATGGTTAGAATCAAAATTTCGTCATTTCGAGGGGGACGTACAATGACGTTAAAATCAGCCCCCCCACCCCTCCCCCTGGGCGGTGAGGGGGGGCTGATTTTAACGTCATTGGGGCAAGTTTAAAATCTTAAATGGAACCCCCTATTTTTCATTGCATATTCTTGTAGCTTATCTCGAGAGCTTTCCAAAACACTATAATTAAGTACCTTTTTATTAAGTACTTTTTGAGTTATAAGGCTTGAAATAATTTCTTAATTTTACATAAACCATAAAATATCTAGTAAACCATTCATTTTTCGATTATCTTACCTTCATACTTTTATGTACAAAATAATGAGAGGAATCAATTGGTGTAGAGAAAACACATAGTTGTTTCTAAGAAAAAATATGTAATTTGCAATTAACAATTCCATATTTTTTCTTAAAAACAACTGTATGTTTTCTTTACACCAATTGATTCCTCTCATTATTTTGTACATAAAAGTATGAAGGTAAGATAATCGAAAAATGAATGGTTTACTAGATATTTTATGGTTTATGTAAAATTAAGAAATTATTTCAAGCCTTATAACTCAAAAAGTACTTAATAAAAAGGTACTTAATTATAGTGTTTTGGAAAGCTCTCGAGATAAGCTACAAGAATATGCAATGAAAAATAGGGGGTTCCATTTAAGATTTCAAACTTGCCCCCCCTCACCGCCCAGGGGGAGGGGTAGGGGGTGGATTTTAACGTCATTGTACGTCCCCCTCGAAATGACGAAATTTTGATTCTAACCATTTTTTCATAGTGTGCTTATTTTTCGAGTTATTTGGCTGCCTAAATTAAAATGGGTCACCCTGTATATTAGTATCTTAATTTATAATAATTAATTAATTATATTCCATTTTATTTCAACTATGAAATTTAATATAATTAATATAAGAAATTAAGATATATAAATATAAAATATTTTATATTAATATCTTAATTTTTTATATTAATTATATTAAGTTTCATATTTTTTGTATAAATTTGAATTGATGATGTAACAACAATCGATCATATCACTTTCTTCAATTATCTCTGAAGATAACTAGAAATATCTATTGGCATTTTAAATATATAATTTAAGTAAGTAAATAAAATGTAAGTAGATATGTTATTAATGCATTTAGATCTTGTAATTAAGTTATTTACCTACATTTTATAATGTAATTTTTTACATTTTTATATTTTATTACAAACTTTTATCTTCTGAACTTTATTACCAACATTTATCTTTCGAATAGACAGCACTTGCGCGCGTGTCGAAAGATAAACGACTGATTCGCCGATTCTGTCAACGTTTGTGTTTACGTTCCTGCATTTTTAATTTAATTTTCCACGAACTTTTCCTGTAATTATAAAGCTATCGCATCGATCACACTTGACACAACATGAAAATCATCCTCGTAACTGGTGGTTCGGGTCTCGTTGGCAGAGCCATCCAAAGTGTCATCGAACATGACAGGAGAGAGGACGAGAAGTGGATATTCGTCGGGTCCAAGGATGCGGATTTGTGGTGAGTCAAATTAATCGCTAGCAAAAGATGCGAATTGGATAATGTTCATGTGATTCTGATCGAACAATCTTTTTGCAGCGATAAAGAGAGCACTCGGAAGTTATTCGACCAGCACAGACCAACACATGTTATTCACCTGGCTGCCATGGTCGGCGGGCTTTTCCATAATATGTCGCACAATTTGGATTTTCTAGTAAATATTTAATAAAAAAATCAATATTCATGTTATCATTATATTTATAGTATGATCATATTTATCATATGATCTTAATATTGAATATAATATTAATTAATATTGAGAATATAATATTAAATATAATATTTAATATTTTTTCTGCGTAGCAATATAATGTACACATTTTAATAGAAAAATCAATATTCATGTTATCATATTTATAGTCATAATTTTAATATTGAATATAATATTGAATATTTTTAATATTTTTTCTGCGCAGCGGAATAATGTACACATTTAATAGACAAATCAATATTCATGGTATCATTATATTTATAGTCATATAATTTTAATATTGAATATAATATTAATTAATATTGAATATAATATTTAATATTTTATCTGTGCAGCGGAATAATGTACACATTTAATAGAAAAATCAATATTCATGTTATCATTATATTTATAGTCATATGATATTAATTAATATTGAATATAATATTGAATATAATATTTAATATTTTTTCTGCGCAGCGGAATAACGTACACATGAACGACAATGTTCTCCACACTGCTCATGAGCATAATGTTGTCAAGGTTGTTTCGTGCCTTTCTACTTGTATATTCCCGGATAAGACGACTTATCCAATCGACGAAACCATGGTAATGATATGAAATATATTGAACATACTCGCTATAATAAATACATATAAAAATAATAAATACTTTCTAGGTTCACAATGGACCGCCACATCCTTCGAATTATGGTTACAGTTACGCCAAGCGACTGATTGATGTCGCAAACAGAGGCTACCACGATCAGCATGGCAGATTGTACACTAGTGTGATTCCTTGCAATGTCTTTGGTCCTCATGACAATTTTCATCCCAGTGCTAGTCATGTTATACCTGGCTTGATGCGAAGACTTTATGACTTGTGCAAGGATGGTGTGTAATCCAGCTTTGTATATACGATTTAAATTTATTTGTATGTATGATTTAAATTATTAAGTTAATATCTTTTTTTATCAGGAAATACGGAGACTAAGGCATTCTCAGTGCTGGGTTCTGGAAAGCCTTTGAGGCAATTTATTTATAGCATAGACTTGGCGAAATTAATAGTTTGGGTTCTGCGAGATTACAATTCTGTGGAACCAATTATATTATCAGGTAATCATTTATATGATCAAAGTCTTGACATTTTAATATTTTCTAATGATAAGATTAATAATCTTTTTTTAACATAATTTGAAATCTATGGGATAGATCATCTTTTTTACCTCAATTTTATTAACGTTGGAAAATATTTTGATGTCATAGATCACGTTGATTAATTCTACTGCAGAATGTATGAATTTATTAGCAGATAAGTTACGAGAAAAAGTGATTATTTTCAGTGGACGAAGCGCAAGAGAAAACAATAGCGCAAGTGGCTGAAACTTTAGTGAAAGCTTTCAACTTTAAGGGCAAAGTGGTGTATGACACGTCAGCGGCGGACGGTCAATATAAAAAAACTGCAAGTAACGCAAAATTGCGAAGGTATTTACCCGATTTTCAATTCACACCTTTTGAACAAGCAATTAAAGAGACTGTTGATTGGTATATAAAAAATTATGACCGTGCGAGGAATTAAGATAGGACCATAATCTGCTCAGATATCGCTTTTATTTCTATGATTAGCATTTCCGATTTGTACTTATGTTTAGATTCATAACATCATGATTGTTGAATCCAACAGGATTCCAACTGACAGTTATAAGTCTGATAATTTGATAGCTATCACCTTATCGGTGAAATTATCAGGTGTATTAATAAATATGTAATTTTTAAAATTATAGATTAATAAGTTATTAATCTATTCAGTTTTATTACGACAAGTTTGTATGTATATTTAGTCGTAACTTTAAATTTAGAAGTATAAATTATATATTATATATTATATATTAATTTTATTGATTTATGTGTATAAAGTCATATGGTTCATTAGAATCCATAAATTAATACAAAGGTTAATTATTTAATTTAATTATTATTGTTTACGAGAGATAAAATTAGAAATATACGAAAATGTGAAGATGGGGGTATCGATCATATAACTTTGTCATATTGTAAAAGACTATATTTTTTAAATAAACGATCTTCGCAAAACGTTTTATTCGTTCAAGATGAGAAACGTTTTGTGCGGCTATCGACCTTTGTAGAGCTCAATCGAGATCGGCGAATATTTTCAGGCCGTTAAACAAACATTGATGATATTTTTATTGATCTGGAAATTCAAGTTCCTTCGCATACACTAAAGATAGATCCAGGCGAGCACCTGCATTTATTTTTGCTCGCGCGCACCAACTCTGATGAGGCATATTTTAGGTCAGTTCGTCCATAAACTTGACCGATGGATCGCTTTATGACGTTTATTAAGTCGTGGAAACGAAAATGTAATTTCGCAAAGTAATGGCCGTCGTAAGCAGAAAGTCACTTTGCTGAATTAGAAATTAATCGTGTCGAGAAATCTCTTTTAATCCTTAATATGTCTACACGTTTCTCGTCGATTTTCACTCGATGAAAATGAGCTCCGGTAAATTAAATATAAGGACGCGAATAAAGATAACACACATTTTTTAATTTACATAATTTTAATTATTTTCAGCATATTTTTGATTTTAGGTTTAACAAAAAACCAAGTGTCTTAAAATATGGGTATAAAATGATGATATATTTTTTAAGTTTTCAGAGAAAATTGTAATAATAATTAATAATAATAATAATTACTAATAATAATAATTAAAAATTTCTCTTCATTTATATTATATATATATATGTGTGTGTGTGTGTGTGTGTGTGTGTGTGTGGGTATGATTCACAATGCGGATTTTAATGAAAAAATTAAAAGTCCAATTTTCTCTGAAAACTTCAAAAAATATATTATCACTATTATACTAATAATTAAGAATGTAAAAATAAAAATAGTAATAATAATTGAATTTTCAATTTTCTCATTAAAATGCCTATGTTTGTGAATCATACACACACACACACACATTATATATATATATATATATATATATATATATATATATATATATGTATAATATAAATGAAGAACCATTTTATATTTTTAATGATTATTATTATTATTATTGTTATTATTATTATTATTATTATTATTATTATTAATGATTATTATTATTATTATTATTACATTCTTAATTATTATTATTATTAATCTTAATTATTATTGTTATTTTTACATGCTTACTATAATCATTTTTATTATTATTATTTTTACATTGTTAATTATTATTATTGTTATCTCAAATTGAAGGGCTCCATAAAAGACGATATTAATCCACTAATAAATTATTTTTCCTGGCAACATCCTCGTTCCCGGCATAAAGTCCAGATCCTGGTTAACCCGAGGAGAATTTTAATTAATCGAGTACATCGATATCGAGAACAATGGACTGGTAAATAGAAAGATCGGTCGGGATCGAGGGAGAAAAGGAAAGAAAAGGTCATTAGGCCGAAATAATCTGTCGACAGCAGCGCATCGTCGCGATCGATTTGGCCAAAGATAACCACGTGTTCGCCTTATCGGGGTAGATGCCAGTCTCCGACTGGCGCGATGCAAGAGGAGGGTGCGTTTCCCCTCGAGAGGAATAAATCGGAGGGTTTCTCTCCCCCTCCCCCCCTCCCAAACATACCGCTCGTTCTTTGAGATCGAATCAATCGATCTCGAGTTTACGTAACTAACTTTCCTATAATCGGATTGTAGCTTAAATTCAGCCGCAGTTTCTTCGGTGAAAATTTAATGGTTCGCTGTTCGTTAATTTTTTCGACACCCTCGGTAACTCGAATTAGAATTCCGCGAGGGTAAAATAGACGCGCATGGAAAATTGCGAGCGAGGAACGCTCTTCATCTACTTGCCTTTCCTAAAGAATTATCCTGCAAATTCTATTACGAGCCTCGGACTTTCTTGCGGGGTTGCATCCCCCTCTTCTCTTTAATTAGTCCCGCTTTTATTTCAATACAACAGCGTAATTCGATTCTCTTCTTCATCCGTCTAATGTTTCCCGACAGATTTTAAGTATCATTAAATAAAAAGATAATAAGATATGTATATTTTTATTATTAATTTTTTATTAAATTAATTATTAATTTTATTAAATTAATTATTAAATTTTTATTAACATTTTATTATTAATAAGATATGTATATTTCCTTCTACAAAATAAATATTAATTAAGTATTATTATTATTATTTTCTACGAAACAAAATAAGTATTAATTAAAGTATTAAATTAAATTAATTTATTAAAAATTGTAATATAATAATTAAAATATAATAATAAGATAAATTTTGCTGCGAAATTAAACGTACGATCCTCGCCTAATTATCCTTGCACGATCCTTTGCATAGATAGTCGCGCAGTAGACCTAAATAATGCGCTTATCAATGAGCAACGATTTTAAGATCGCCGTGTCTTTCATAAGTCACGTGTACGCGATAAGATAAGGGGATGCTGAAACGGAAGCGTCCGGGTTTATGCGTACCTACGTTTTCCATTACGATCACGTGCGTAATCTAGTCACTCGGTCACAAAGAAAGAGGGAGGAGGGGGAGGGAGGGGAGAGAGCGCATGCGATAGCACAACACATCCTCCCCTTCCTCTGGACAAAGTCCACATAAACAATTATATATAAAGCTGGGGATGCCTCTTCTAAGGACGCGAGGGGATCGGGATAACAATCATTAGACTTCGATAAGACTGGAAGATCAAAGCTTGTCGGCCGTTGAAGACTCCCGATTCAAAGGAAATCTCATCTGACAAGATAACGATCCTCGGTAAGGATGGAGCTAACGAAGAAAAAAACTCCCCTCAAACGTCATCGCGAGACAATTAATTAGATGCTTGATCGCAATCTTACTAATTTTTTTTTTACAAATACATAAGCTAATGTAATTTTAATTATCTTATAAATGTAATAAATCTATAATTGTTATATAACTATTATATAACTAATATACAGAGTGTCACTTAATTGGCGGCCACTATTTATATTCCACTAGCGATATTCCTCGTGGAAAACTGAGTCGAAAAGTCCAGAACCATTTTTTTCTATAATGAAAAAAATTTGAAACCATTTTTTTCTATAATGCGAAAAACTTTATTTTGCATTAAAAATGATATTTTTTCCGTTAAAAGCGTTTCCCTAAAGAAAATTTCGTCAAGGAGGTGCTTATTGGCGCAACTTTACTCAATAAAATTACCGCTTTATTAAGCATTATAGAAAAAAATGGTTCAGGACTTTTCGACTCAGTTTCTCACGAGGAGTATCGCTATATAAATAGTGGGCGGCGATTAAGTGACGTCCTGTATAACATGTAACAATGATATCGTCGAGTGGAAAATTACAATTAACAATTATATAAGTGTTCCTTGATGTTTACCGGGGATAGATAAAGATGAAGGATCGCTCAATCACTGCGTATACATGGCACACCCGATATTCAGCGAGCTATTAAATCTGCCAATCGAACGCGCGTCGCGACGATAAATCGGGGGATGAGAGGGAAAAGAGAGAGGGCTGGAGGAGGAGAGGAGAACGCGGAACATTCTTCAGGGCGAGGAGCGGGATGGGGGCGAGGAGGAAAGGGGTGCGCGCGATCGGGGCGCAGGGCGCAGGCGCGTTCCAGGGACGAAGGAGGGGGGAGGGGAGAGGGCTCGCCTCGGGAAGTCGGCGCGGCTCGGTCAGTCGCGTCTCGGGGTGGCTCGGCTCCGGATTGTCGCCCCGCTTTGCGTCGCGTTGCGTTAAACGTCACGCGTTACACGCTCCCTCGACGCCGGTCGAGAGAGAGATGCGCTCCTCGCGCGCTGGCGGCGCGGACGCGTCGTCGTGACACGCACGTGGCGGTCGTGAAGGAGGTGAATCTTGGTCCGCGAGGAGGGTGAGAAAATGACGTCGAGGACGCGCGAGCTCCCTCCGGGCCGATCCCGGTAGCGGTCATCCTGTCTCGTCTAGTCTGGAGATAAGGAAGCCGAGGGACACGTAGACAAGGGGAGGCGCGCGTCCTTCCCCGAGAGGATAAGGATAAAGCGAATCCCTCGTCCAGGGTAAGCGATTATCGTCGATCTTGGGATACCTAGATTAGGAGTTTCTAAATTCTTAATTTTATTTTGTAAAGAAAAAATTAAGGTGGTAGGCTTGCCAGGTCTATTAAATTTCCAATTAATATATATATTTTTGTTTTTTAAAATAATTTATAATTTTTATAATAATATATATAATATATATATATTTTTCCAATGTATATAATATATATATTTTTCCAATATAAATTTCCAATTAATATATATATTTTTATTTAAAAAAATAAAAATATACTAATTAGAAATATAATATATATATTAATTAGAAATTTAAAAAATAAAAATAAAAATATATATATATTAATTGGAAATTTAATGATTGAATATTAAGAGAAAAATTGGATGGGAATTTTAAAAATTAAAATATTAAATGAACTATTAGGAAAATAATAATTGAATAAATAGTAAAATATATAAATAAAGAAAAAGATTTTTAAATATAATTAATAGTAAAGGATGAAAGGACATTTGTATTTTTCGAAAAGAATAATACACGTAATCTATTTACTCGACTAGCGTACCTTATAAAATAAATGTCAAGTTACATAAATAAGTAATAATGGACGTAAAAATTATGCGATAAATAGTGGGAATATTGTACGCGTTTGTAAACAACGTCGTGTATTGTGATTTTACGTACATATTTTTTTCAGTGTACGTTAATTTTCTAGTCTACTTGCTAATGTCGTTTAGTTCGTCAGGGTTGTATGAATCGACTTTAGCTATTTCAGAGAATTCATCGAGCTTTAATTTTCTGGCGGTTAAATTCGGATGATTCGACTAAAGTTGGATTTTAGAAGTCTCATTAAATTGCAATCGTCATGATTAAATTGGATATAAAGTCTAGCTTTATTTCAACGATAATAAATGCATAATTTTAATTGTAATTTATAAAGAACTTACGAAGTTGGAAGAAGAGATTGAAGCGATCTGATAAACGTTAATCATAATAAGATCTTTTTCAATTTTATTCAAATGATATATCGGGTTTCAATAATAATCAATAATAATCGTGCAACATTAAAGCTTGTAAAGAATTGCATGCGAATTTTACCGAGAAAATTAAAACGGTTCGCGCTTTTTTCCGAAATAATCGTCGATCGTGATTTCTTCAGATCGGAATTTTTGACAGATAACTTTTGACAGATAACTTTTAATGATAATCGTATCTCGCGAAAGTCCGTGTTCAAAGTGCGAATTACGTCATTGCCAAGATATAAACAGCAACAAAACAGCAATTTATACAATATGAAAGAGAGAGATAGAGGGGGAGGGAGGGAAAGAGAGAGAGGGAGAATAAATTTTCCGGTCTATAATTCACATGTGTTCGCACAAACACGATTGTTCGCCGACAAATGTTAATTTGATTAGAGATATCGATTATTCACGCACAAGCTTAAAGAGTTAACATCGCGTCGAGCTGATATTTTTCCTTCTCCGCCATCGAAACGGAATTCAATTCGACTCCATTTCGGCTCCTTCGAGTGTCCTCAAGTAGAAGAATGATTTGTGACGAAGGTTTCGCACACGAGACGCTCGTTAATCCTTAGACTAAAGTAGTGTAAAGATTCCCAGCAAAATCGAACTGGCTTATCCTCCCTAGCTTTATTCCATACACTGAGGAAAAAATTTTTTTAAATCAAATAAAATTGTTTTCTTGAAACTTTTGCTTTAAATGCAAGGAATTGTTTATTTCATTTAAGCAAAAGCATTTAATTTTAATTAAATATGCATGTTATATTAAGCACATTATTTTTATTTATATATTTTTTATATTTAAATACTATTTTCGTAAAATATATACTATAATTTATTAAATTAAATATATTATTTTTTAAAATTAAAAAATTTTAAATTTTTGGGAATAAAAAATGCATTTTAATAAATATTTTGTAAAATTAAAATAAAAATATTTAATTGAAAATTATATTTTTTTAAGCATATATATATATTTAAACATATGTAAATAAATACTTAAGCAAACAGCCGTTTTGAATACAAATAAATATGTGATTGGTACCCACCGAATAAATAGCTTTCTTGAGTTAACTAAAATTTTTTTATTTCAAGATAATTTTTCCCTCAGTGTATAAATGAAATGAAGGGAGAGAGAAAATGGAATATATCTTTAAATTATGCTCTTCGAAAATTATGTTCAATATACGGTGTTACTTTAAATATTTATGAAAATAATTTAAAAACATAAATAATTTTATATAATTTAAATATTTTATATATTTTATATGTTATTTTAAATTATTTTTGAAATCTCCCGAGAGATAAAAAGCCAACATTTTACATTTGAAAATTTTGCATATTATAAAAATTTTTGCACTATAGAAGATGAGTTTCTTTCGGTAAACTCGTTTTGACATAGCAATTTTCCTTATTTTCATTACTCGTTTCATTATCCGTCCATTAGAAAAGCTTGGCGTGCAAGCGGATTTCGCATAATTCTTAGCGTTGATATATTTCATTTTTATCTGGGGCAGCCGTAATTATCTTCTACGTTTTTTTTTTGCGATATGTCCGCTGCGATTAATAAAAAATATGCTTGCGATTAAATAATCGGAATTTTTCTGTTTCTCTTTGTTTTTATCGCTGATTTTGTTGCAACTTTTTTCGAATTTCAAATTGTTTTGGAAAAATGAGGGGAAGCGAATCTTCATCGATTTTTGACATCGTCGTCTCGTGTAACTTTTGCTACTTTACTGTCGACCAACGCGAAGAAATTGCGATTTATATTTCTTAACGAGAGTTTATTTTGTGTCGAAAAATGTTTACATTTCGTGAAAAAAAATCTCGTATCTTTATCTGTTTGATGCGATTATTATTGAATGATAACGATAGCTTATCTTCGAATTTACTTGCAATTTAATCGTAATCGTAATATGTTATTATCTCGAATTTTTTCTCCAAGTAATTATGCCAAGATAGACTTGCAATTACATCACAATTAGATCGTTATCTTTAGAAGGCGTGTGCAACACTTTGCAAATGTGACTCATGTAAAAAGTCGAGAATAAATTGTGCGGAAAATCTCGAGTACGCGTAATGCACTTTCGTGACACGATTTATGACATGGAGTTTCTTTCGCACAATTCACAAAAGTTGCTGCGAGATGTTTAACTCTTTCTAAAACTCGACCTCTTTAAGGAACGGCAAGCAAAAACTTTGTGTTTGCCTTCGGTTTTCCTTCGGCCAAAATCTCGGGCAATTTAATTCGCCGTTTCACGGTTGGAATAACGATTGACAAAACGCGTGTCCGCGAGCGGATATACTTTTCGATGATACACATCATGTGGGGCAAAAAGACCGATTTTAAAGAATTTAAATAAATTTAATATAAAGTTTTTTTTTTCATTTTTCGACAACAATGTAACTTTTGCAATGAATCTTTATTTCAGGGAGTAGAGGCGAAAATATTCGAATACTTGAGCGAAAAATGTTTGAGTTTTTTTTTTAATTTTCGTTAATGGAAAGCTCGCATCCGAAAGCCGATTTTATATGTGTAAAATTTTGTCTGATGTATAAAGGAATGTTGCAATCAAATTTTCTGATTAATTTCAATTGCATTTATCTATTATTTTTTGTATTATTTTTATTTTATTTTTATATCTGTAAAATAAAACTGAAAGATATATTTGATTCAAAAACAGTATTAAAATAATGTTTCAAGTCTATAAATTCCGCTTTATATAATATAGATAATAATAATTTGCACGAGTTTTTTATCTTGAGAATTTTATATCCTGATACATATACATATTTTATACGTGTTTGTTATTTTTCCAAATATATATACGTGTCTTCAACAATAGATAACGACGATATTTAGAGCTATAAATAAAATTTTATCGCGAATTATATAGATCGTTGTAAAAAACGCGATTGAATTCAGTACGCAATTATAGCGGGCAATATTGATTTGAGAGAAAAAAATACCTCGGAGGGCGACTTTCCCATTTGGGGGATAAGAAAGAATCTCTCTCTCTCTCTTTCTCTCTCTCGCGATAAAATTGCAACGAAACGACACACTGAGAGAAAAATTTTTTTAAATCAAATAAATTTGTTTTCTTGAAACTTTTGCTTTAAATGCAAGGAATTGTTTATTTCATTTAAGCAAAAGCATTTAATTTTAATTAAATATACATGTTATATTAAGCACATTATTTTCATTTATATATTTTTTATATTTAAATACTATTTTCGTAAAATATATACTATAATTTATTAAATTAAATATATCATTTTTTTAAATTAAAAAATTTTAAATTTTTGGGAATAAAAAATGCATTTTAATAAATATTTTGTAAAATTAAAATAAAAATATTTAATTAAAAATTATATTTTTCTAAGCATATATATATTTTTAAACATATGTAAATAAATACTTAATTTAAGCAGACGTTTTGAATACAAGTAAATACATAATTAGTATCCACCGAATAAATAGTTTTCTTGAGTTAACTAAAATTTTTTTATTTCAAGATAATTTTTCCTTCAGTGTATAAATGAAATGAAGGGAGAGGGAAAATGGAATATATCTTTAAATTATGCTCTTCGAAAATTATGTTCAATATACACGGTGTTACTTTAAATATTTATGAAAATAATTTAAAAACATAAATAATTTTATATAATTAAAATATTTTATATATTTTACATGTTATTTTAAATTATTTTTGAAATCTCACGAGAGATAAAAAGCCAACATTTTACATTGAAAATTTCCCAGGATCGATTTCGCGCCATATAAGTAGACGAGACTCGACCTTCCGCAGGAGCATCCGCAGGATCTGTCGAACTTTTCGTCGATCTCGAGTCGCGAGTGATATCGTTATCGGTATAAATATAAAAGAGAGAGCAGTGATAGCGCTCGAGGATTATCGCGGGCGAGCGACGCGATGCGACGTCGCGTCGCTCATCGGTTCGTCGTCGGTGACAGCGACCGAGGGGAGGAGGGTGTCGTCGTCAGCGTCGACACGACGTCGCTCGCCGGCCAAGGATGGACAAGGCGAGACGGAGCGACAAAGCGAGCAAGGGTCACCGTCATTGTAAGTGCGTTGGTAGGCGCGCCGCGCGACGCCGACGTCGGCGTCGTCGGCTGCCGTCGTCGAGCGAGTCTTCCCACGTCGATCGGCCACGTCGGACAAACAACCGGGCGGTGATTCGCGTGTGAAGTGGACTCGCGGTGCTGTGAAGTCGCCGGCTTGTTGGATGGAAGACGACGACGACGAAGGCGGCGACGACGACGCGACGAGAGATGCCTGGTATCGTGGTGTTCCGACGACGCTGGAGCGTCGGCAGCGACGACCTCGTCGTCCCCGGCGCTTTCCTGTTCAGCCTGCATCTTATATGGTGAGTAAACCCCGATGACAGAGATAGAAATATATCCCAAAAATTATTGCAAACTTGACTTCATTTTTAACTAATTTCTTTTTTATTATATGTAATTATTTTGGAATTATTTTTTAATTATTATGTAATTATATATACAGAGTGTTCCAAAAGTCCCGGACCGGACGAATATTTCATAAACTATGCGCTTTAGAAAGAAATGTTTCAGACAAAAGTTGTATGGCTTGAAGGGAGCCATCAGATAGTGGCAATGATTTGACACGAGAGAGTCATTTGAAAGTCGTGAATTGACGTGAAGATCACCGTCAATTTCTTAAATGGAATCCTCTATTTTTTATTACATATTCGTGTAACTTATCTCGAGAGCTTTCCAAAACACTATAATAAAGTATTTCTTCATTGAGTACTTTTCGAGTTATGAGGCTTGAAATTATTTCTTAATTTTACATAAACCATAAAATATCTAGCAAAATATTCATTTTTCGATTATCTTACCTTAATATTTTTATGTACAAAATAATGAGAGGAATCAATTGGTGTAAAGAAAACACATAGTTGTTTAAAAAAAAATATGTAATTGTTAATTGCAAATTACATATTTTTTTCTTAAAAACGACTATGTTTTTTCTTTAGACCAATTGATTCCTCTCATTATTTTGTACATAAAATTATTAAGGTAAGATAATCGAAAAATGAATATTTTACAAGATATTTTACGGTTTATGTAAAATTAAGAAATGATTTCAAGCCTCATAACTCGAAAAGTACTCAATGAAGAAATATTTAATTATAGTGTTTTGGAAAGCTCTCGAGATAAGCTACACGAATATGTAATAAAAAATAGGGAGTTCCATTTAAGAAATTGACGGTGATCTTCACGTGACTTTCAAATGACTCTCCCATGTCAAATCATTGCCACTATCTGATGGACCCCTTTAAGCCATACAACTTTTGTCTGAAACATTTCTTTCTTTCATAGTTTATGAAATATTCAACCGGTCCGGGACTTGTGGGACACTCTGTATAATTGTTATATAATAATAAAAATATAATAATAAAATAATAATAATAATAATAATGTAATATAATAATAAAAAAATAATAATTATTATTTTTTCTATTTATAAGGAATAATTAATTGTTTAATTAAGATATTTAAGTATTTAAGAGTTAAATAGATGTCATGTTAGATTTAATTTAAATATTTTAATTTAGGCAAAATAATAATTAATTGAAAATATTTAGTCAAGTTTACAATTTTTTTTCTCAGTGGGACACCAAGAGTGTAAGGAGTCTGACAAGCCACTTTTTCTACTCTGAAATATTTTTATCATATTGCTTGTTGCAATGATTAGAATAAATTGTTCACTGATTAGAATAAATTTAAATGCTCAAAGATTGCTTGATAAAGACTGACTTACTTCGCTTCGTCGTCCAATTTTTAATGTCGAAATTAAAAAAAGAGGATGAAATATTTTTCAACACTTGATTCCATTACCTTCACACATGCAGATACATAAAGACAAAATTATTAAGATTGCTGATCGACTTTCACGTAATAAAGTAATTAAAATTGCGTTGAATATTTTGAATCGAAATATAATTATTGAAAGGTTGCGGCAAAAAATTTATATTGCTTTCTTGAAAAAAAATAAAAGAACATTTTAGTTAAAAATCGGAAAATATAAGATTATTAAGACTACACTGATTGACTTTCATATAATAAAATAATTGAAATTATATTGAATTTTTGAGTGGAAACATAATTATTGAAAAGCTGCAGTAAATAAAAAAAATATTTCTTTCTTGAAAGAAGTAAAAGAACATTCATGCAAAAAGAGAGAGAGAGAGAGAGAGAGAGAGAGAGAGAGAGAGAGAGAGAGAGTATAAATATTCACAATATAATTATCAGTTTCCAACTGTGATCCAACTGTGAATATCTACATAATTCAAAGGTCGTGCGACTTTGTATCTATTGTTATAAATTCAAATCTATTTGATAAATCAGTTACCTGCATTCGTGGCTGTATTAAATCGCGTATTTTGAAGTAAATTTACTCGAAATAACTTTGAATTTTCATGAATATTATATTCAATCATTAACGCATGTGCAACTTAATGCGAAACTTTTAATCACAAAATTATTATTCACATAATTATTTTGTATTATGTTTAAATATATCGCTTTGAAACGTTGTTAGACACATCGAATTCTAAACTTTTTAACGATAGACAATGTTAAATAAAAATAAATAATAATAAATTTAATAATAATAAATTTAATAATAATAAATTTAATAATAATAAATTTAATAATAATATATTTAATAATAATAAATTTAAATAATAATAAATTTAATAATAATCTACATAAATTAAATAAAAATAAATTTTATATAATAATATTAAATTATAATAATAATAAATTTAAAAACAGTTCACCCAAATTAAATAAAAATAAATTATAAATTTGGAATTAAAGAGATTTCTTCGAGAAAAGCTCCCTTTATGACACTATTTTAACGCTAAATATCTTTTCCCTTCAAATTAAAATTTAGTAAATGAAAGTGATTTGCATTTAAGCGAGGAAACTTTTTAATTATTTCCTGTTTAAAAGTTGGGAGAAGGAATTTTTTATATCACTAACTATTTAGCTAATTAAAATCGCTCTGATAGACTCCTGAAGGATTTTCATTCGTTAAATTTATCGGGAGTTTCACAAGCGTAATTATTCGTCTTACCACCCCCTACGTTAACGAGTGCTATTATTGGGGTAGCATGTATCCTCCGTCTTCGATGACTTCTCGAACTCGACCCGTATATTTGATTCTACGTGCGCCAATTGGGGAAACTCCGTCATGAATTCCGTTCGATTCATTTCCGCTATAACTGTTAATTGATTGCGCGAATATCGATATTAGGATTGCATGAGATACCAAGATTAGTCTTGATATTGTCTTGTCTTGTCTTAAATTTTAAGACAAGATTTTTAATTAGTTATCAAGACAGTACCAAGACTGTCAAGGTTATTGGTATTGTCAAGATTATTGGTTCTCAAAAAAACTAAAATATTTATATTTGTAAATGAAAAAAAATCACTAGATAGGAATTTAAAAAAATGTTATTCAATAAAAACATTTATATTAATAAATTTAAAAACATTTAATATTAATACAATATAACATTTTTATAAATTAGAAATCAAACTCACAGATTTTAGACATTAAAGAGCATTTCACCCAGGAATTGATGCACATTAGTGCTTTTAAAGATTTACTTTGTAATCTGGTTCTATTTTTTGACATAGGCAGAATTCCTATTGAGACGAGATTTTTAATTAATTATCAAGACAATACCAAGACTAAGACTGTCAAGATTATTGGTTCTCAAAAAAACTAAAATATTTATATTTGTAAATGAACAAAAATCACTAGATAGGAATTTAAAAAAATGTTATTCAATAAAAACATTTATATTAATAAATTTAAAAACATTTAATGTTAATACATTATAACATTTTTATAAATTAGAAATCAAACTCGCAGATTTTAGACATTAAAGAGCATTTCACCCAGGAATTGATGCACATTAGTGCTTTTAAAGATTTACTTTGTAATGTGGTTCTATTTTTTGACATAGTCTCAGAGTTTCTATTGAGAAAAATCTTTCTACTGGCACGGACGAGGCAGTTGAACTTAAAATGTCTCGAGCCATTTTTGACAATGTGGGATAAATATGAACCTGACTTTTTTACCATTCCAAAATATTTATATCTGCACATTCCCTTGGAGCCTGTAAATAGTTATTAATTTCTTTTTTCCATGAAACAGTAAATGTTTTTTTGTGTAAATAGACAGCATTTATATCGATTACATAGTAATAATTATAATTAAAATATAATACAATAGTGATAATTATTTCAAATTATATTACAAAAATTATGTTAAATATTATTTAAATAATTTTTTAATATTAGATAAAAAATTGTTAATAAAATCGAGACAAGACAATACAAGACGAGATTTTTGTTACCAATATTCACTCAAGACCAAAACAAGATTTAAATTTTTCAAAATTTTCAATACCAATACAATATTTTTACGAATATTGTCTTGGATCTTGTGCCGTAATCGATATCGTATCGCAAATTTGCAACCCCTTAGCAATCTGCAACATCATCATTCAGCGATCGATAGCTGAAGCTGATCTCTTTCTGAAATATGTATTCAGGGAGACTTTAAAGTCGGAAATTCCAGAGAGAGAGAGAGAGAGAGAGAGAGAGAGAGAGAGAGAAAAAAGGAAAGAAAGATACACGCATATCTTCCACGCGATATGTTTCCAACGGTCTTCATATATTCTTTAGCTAGAGCCCTTTGAAATTTAAGGTCGGGGAAAAATTGAATAAGAGGGAGGAAGGAATAAATATTTATGTATTTTACTCGCGATTCTTTCTCGAAACTTAATTGATAGCGAGATAAGCGTTTCGTTGGTTCTTAGGAAATGTTAAAAATGTCTCGGTATTTTTGTCGCGAATAAATCAATTCGGGGTTGAAACAGAGAGGAAATCTATAACCGAATAATGGAAAGCACCCTAAATTCGAGAGCTTATCGGCGATGCTCAATGTTGATTCCTTCAAAATAATTGGCGAATTCGCGTTGATCGAGGTGAAAGTTTGAATCTCTGGGTGTTTCTTATATATAGGGTGTTTCTTAATAAGTGCGAAAAATTTTAGGGGATGATTCTTTGTCGAAAATTAAGGGAGGTTTTTCATATAAATTCCAAAAATATGAGTTACTCCTCCAAAAATGGGGGAAAAAATTAGGTTTTTATTTTTTGGGTTTTTAGATTTTTATTATAATTTTGTTTTTATCTTAATTTTCCCGACATTACTCTCATTTTATTTTTATTTTAAAATTTAACTTCTCGTAATTTGAAACCTATGCTATTTAGCATCGTGCTGTGCACGATAATGTATTTTATTTTTTTCTTGAACTACTGA